GGCTGAGGCTGAGGCTGAGGCTGAGGCTGAGGCTGAGGCTGAGGCGAGGCAGGCTGAGGCTGAGGCCGAGGCAAGCCGAGGCAGGCTGAGGCTGAGGCTGAGGCTGATGCTGAGGCAGGCTGAGGCTGAGACAGGCTGAGGCTGAGGCTGAGGCAGGCTGAGGCTGAGGCAGGCTGAGGCTGAGGCCGAGGCAGGCTCAGGCCGAGACAGGCAGAGGCTGAGACTGAGGCTGAGGCTGAGGATGAGGCCGAGGCAGGCCGAAGCTGAGACAAGGTGAGGCTGAATGGGGGGGAGGGGGAAGGCTAAGGGGGGGGGGAGGAGGGGAGGCTGAGGCAGGCTGAGGCCGAGGCAGGCTGAGGCCGAGGCAGGCTGAGGCTGAGGCTGAGGCAAGCCGAGGCATGCTGAGGCTGAGGGAGGCTGTGGCTGAGGCTGTGGCTGAGGCTGACGCAGGCTGAGGCCGAGGCAGGCTGAGGCTGAGGCTGAGGCAGGCTGAGGCTGAGGCCGAGGCATGCTGAGGCTGAGGCTGAGGCAAGCCGAGGCAGGCTGAGGCTGAGGCTGAAACTGAGGCAGGCTGAGGCATCCGTAGGAATCCATAGGAATCCTTAGGAATCCCTAGGAATCCTTAGGAATCCGTAGGCATCCTTAGGAATCCGTAGGCATAGTTAAGCATCCTCAGGAATCCTTAGGAATCCTTAGGATTCCCTAGGAATCCTTAGGAATCCCCAGGAATCCCTAGGAATCAGGATTCCTAAGGATTCCTAAGGTTTCCTAAGGATTCCTATGGATTCCTAAGGATGCCTAAGGATGCCTTAGGAATCCCTAGGAATCCTTGATTCCATTGGATCGTAAGGCCGTTGCCACTGCGACTGTCACTGCGAATGCGACTGCGACTGCGAGAACAGCAGAATTCTACAACTGGATTCTCACCGGAATCTTAAGGGGAATGCTTCCAGATATGCTTATACACATCGCTGTTACGTTGCTTTGCCTGGATCATTTATTTTTTGTCGAAAATCCCCCTGTAGGGGGACAGGCCAGACATAACCCCAACCCCCGCGACCCCTGGAGCCGCGCACGTCTGGTCGCTCTGGCTTGGAGCCGCTCTCGTGTGTCACCGAGACAAGGGGGGGGGCCGCCCTGCACCCCGAGAGCGCTTCGCGTGCTCCGGGTGCTCCCCGCGTGCCGCGGTCAGCTCCGCCCGCATCCCGGCGCAGCTCGCCCGCAACTCGGATCCGAGGCGCCGCTGACCAGCGAGTGTGTGGCGGGAAGTCCACGGCCAGAGTCTGTCCACATCCACCGCTGCGGAGTCGTGCCCCGGGATCTCGGGGAGCTGTGGACGCGGATATACTTCTGCCCGCCCGCCCGGGCGGGGCAGATCTCCGCATCCACGGCCCCCCGCGTGCCCAGGACACGGCCCCGCGGCAGTGGATATGGACATGTCTTGGCGGCGCAGGAATCGGCGACTAATTACAAAGGGTATGGTTGCGCCGGGGTGTGGTTTGCGATCGGCACCGTTGGGGCTTGGGGGGCACGACGCTGTCCTCGTCGGGTCTCCTCGGGGCTCGGGGGACCTCCATCGAGGTCCCCGCGCGCCCCCTAGGGTGCCCCCAGGATGCTTCCCAGGGTGCCGGTTGCAAACCACACCCTTTGTGGAGTCGCCGAAAGAAGTACTCCGATGGCTGGCGCCCCCCGGTCCGGGCGCTGACGGACGTGTCCCTGGTCCGCGAGGTGCCCCCAGCTTCGCCGCCAGCTTGGAGCCTCGGCGCCCCCCCCTTCCGTGCCTCGTCCTGGGGCCTCCAGGGGGCTGGCCGGGGGCCTCGATGGCGGCCCTATAGGGGGACATCTCCCCTGAGATCCGGCGCCGCGGCAACACTGCAATTCCCCAGGCCCAGACCCCCTCGCGCTGCGAACAAAACTCGCGACGGGAGGTTTTTTTCGCTATGCTCGGCCTCCGGGGGCTCTTACCAGGCCCCTGGGCCGTCAGAAAGCGGCTCAGGAGGAGAGACCGGTCCCAGGGAGTGGGTCGAGACCTCCAGGGGCCCACGTGGTGAAAAAATCATGATGTCGGGGGTTTGGGACACCAGGGGGAGTTGGACATGCAACGTCCTGATTTTTTCAGGACGGCGTCCTCGGAAGCCCCGACCCTTTCCCTGGGACCGGTTTTTCATCCTGAGTCGTTTTTTGACGGTCCTGAGGCCCAGCGAGGGCCCCTGGGGCCGAAAATAGCCTAAAACCTGCCGTCCTGACGTTTCCACGACGCGATCATGTCTGGGGAGTCGCGACCGGAGGAGACCCGGACCTCACATCTTCCTGGCGGCGCCCCCTGCGGCCACCGGAGCGGTCCGCGAGGCCCCCCCCCCCCCGGGACACCCGGGCAGGGCGCAGTCGCCCGGGGCGAGAGCAGAGGCGCCCCAGGAGCTCCCCAGACCCCCGACGCCATGAGCCCGGGGATCCGACGCCCCGACAATCTGCGCGAGCGAAATGGGCATGGAAAGAATGGGTACAGTGCCCAACAGCGGATCCTGTTCATTTTGCACAGGACTCGCTGTCCACGCCGCCGCGGCCTGTGTCCATTCGAGGCAGAAGGCCGCCTGCCCAGCAGCGGCTGCTGTTGGTTTGGGACAACATTTGTTGTTGGGCATTGTACCCCTTCTTTCCGTACCCCTTTCGGGCGTCCACAGACAAAGTTGACTGGTGCGGCGGGCTTTGGGGCATTTTCGGCTTCCTGGGGCCCTCGCCGGGCCCATAATTAGGACCGTCAGAAAAGTAGGGGACCACACGCGAACCCTACCCCTACCCCCCACGATTTCTGAGGGGGAGGGTGGGGTTCACTTCGTTCGGGAGCTCTCGAGCGAAGTGAACCCCATCCTCCCCCTCAGAAGTCGTGGGGGGGTAGGGGTAGGGTTCGCGTGTGGCCCCCTAAAAAGGACCCGGGGCGAAGAGCCGGCCACGCATCGAAGCACGTGGAGCGGCCGGATGTCTGGGACTTCTGTCGCAACGGTCGGCCCCAGGGGTCTCGACCCGTTCCCCAGAACCGGTTTTTCACCCGGAGTCGTTTTCGACGGTCGCGAGGCCAGGTATCGGGGGCCCCCAGGGCCCGAAACTACAGCAAGTCAACTTCATCCCGTCGTGATCGTGATCCCGACTCGGGCGGGCCTGGGGAGGCAGCGCCCCAGGATCTCAGGCTGGGGCCAGGGCCACTCCCCAGAGAGCCGAGGATCTGATTTTTCCAAGCCGGCGTGTTCTTCCTGGGATTTCGGCCTCCCTGGGGGCCCGTCCTCGGGCCCGGGGGCCAGCAAGGAGGGATCCAGGACGAAAGCCCACCCTCTTTGCGGATGGATCTCTCTGGCTCTCCGCCGCCTCTGGCGCGGTGTGCGCTGCGCGCAGGAACGCGGCAATTACAGCCTCGGGAGACGCGGCAGTGGCAGTGCAGCTCCGCACGAGCTCGCAAACGCACGCCGCCAGAGGCGGCGGAGAGCTCGAGAGACCCACCCACAAAACGCGGAAGGGGTCGGGACCCTCGACGGGGCCGCATGCGAACCCTACCCCTAACCCCCCACGACTTTTGAGGGGGAGGGTGGGGTTCCCTTGGCTCGGGAGCTCCCGAGCGAAGTGAACCCCACCCTCCCCCTCAGAAATGGGGGTAGGGGTAGGGCTCGCGTGCGGTCCCCTGCTCGAGGCCGCGGGTTTTGGCAGAAATCGGATCGGCGGATGTCTTTTTGGGGCCTCCGTGGGCGCCCGGCGCGATGCCCGGCGGAGCCGCACGGGCCGCCGGCCGCCGGGGCCGAGGCCGCGCCGGCCGCCGGGGCCGAGGCCGCGGGCGCCGGCGGGGCCCCGCGCGCCGCGGAGGCCGAGCCGGACTTCGAGGAGCTGATGGCGCGGCGGGAGGCGGCGAGGCGCGAGGCGCGAGGCTCTGGGCCTCGGGGAGGCGGGAAGACGGGGGGGGGGGGGGGTAGGAGGGAGGAATGGGGGAGGGATGGGGGGGAGGAGGGGGCAGGGGAGGAGGAGGAGGAGGGGGAGGGAGGAGGAGGAGGAGGAGAAGGAGGAGGAGGAGGAGGAGGAGGAGGGAGGAGGAGGAGGAGGGGAGGAGGAGGGCGGGAGGAGCGGCGGGGCGGCGAGGCGCGAGGCTCGGGGCCTCCCGGATGGGGGTCCTATGGTAGACGGGGTCGGCGGATCGCGCCGCATCGTCGATGCATCCCCAGAGATCCAACGCATTGGAAAAATCAAGACGGACGTTTTTCGCCGTTCTCGGCCTCTAGAGGCCCTCGCTGGGCCTCGGGACCGTCAAACAACGACTCAGGACGAAGAGCGGGTCCTGGGGAGGGACCCCGTATCGAAAAATCACCGCATCAGATCTCTGGTCGCCGATGCATCGGCGATGCGGCTCGATGTGGAGTCCGATGCTCTCCACGCCAACGACGTCGACGCAAGGCCGACGTCGCTGATGCATCGGTGATGCATCGACGAGGCGCTGCAAGCCTCCGAGTAGACGGGGTCGGCGGATCGCGCCGCATCGCCGATACACCTTAACGGGCGAAGAACGGCAGAAAGTAAACTTTTCCGCCGCCGGGGAGGCCTACCCCAGGGCGGCTGGAAGGTTTATACCCGGACGGCGGCACGTCGCCGCCCTGGGGCAGGCGTCCCAGACGGCGGAAGCGTTTATTTGATACCGTTCTTCGCCCGTTAAGGTGCGTCGGCGATGCGGCTCGATGTGGAAATCGATTTTCTCCACGCCGGTGTCGCCCACGCAGTCCTACGACCCCATCTGCTCGGACCCCGTCTGTGGGAGGCCTCCAGAGGCGCTGGGCGACCCGAACAAGGCCCTCTACGACGCCGCCCGCGCGGGCCTGTTCGAGGACGCGTTCGAGGCGGTGGAGTGCGGGGCGGACCTCTCGCGGGCCTTCGGGCCGCGGAAGAACACGCCGCTGCACCTGGCGTGCCGCTTCGGCTACGTCGAGATCGCGGGCCTGCTGCTGCAGCGGGGCGCGCCGATCGAGGCCCGGAACAAGCACGGCGAGACGCCGCTGCACGGGGCCGTGAAGGACGGCGTGGAGGTCACCACGCAGCTGCTGGCGAACGCGAGGGCGGACCTCAACGCGCAGGACGAGGACGGGCGCACGCCGCTGGCCCTCGCGAGGGCGGCGGGCCGGCAGGAGTTCGTGGACTTCCTCGTGGCCAGCCTGCCACGAGGGAGAGGGGCCCTCGGGGAGGAAGAGGGCCCACGAGGGGCTTCCCCAGCGCCTTTCGTCGATGGGCCCGAGGCCCCACGGTGTTCCATGAGCTCCCCCTCCACGGCACCCTGCACGATAGCCTGTTCTGCTCCCCCCCCCCCCGCGCACCGACCGCCACCCCCTGACGCGATGCCCCCCCCCCCACGCTCCCACGGCACGGACTCGCTTCGCCAGAGTCTCGGCTCGCAGGGGCTCGGTTCGCCCAGCTCAGTCCGCCTTCTCTCGGCTCGCGAAGCGAGCCCCGGCGCTGGGGCTTGTTTCGCCATGGCTTGTTCCGCTGGGGCTCGCTTCGCCGGTGGGGCGGACCCTCACGGGCGGACCCTCACGGGCAGGCTTGGTCGGTCTGGCGGGCGGGACATTCAATCAGGAGGGAAAAAAACACACAGACACAACTCATCCTCGATTCCCCAGAAAATGCGGGAAAATATGGGACGTGGGGGGGAAGACAGAAACCCAGAAAATATAGGAAAATATAGGGAATCCTTTTATTTGTGTGTGTATCTATTTGTGTGTCCTGGGGCCCCTTCATTCAAGTACGAGGCGTCGTCGAGGCAGCACGCGCGAGCCCTATGGCGGGCGGGTCGGGCCGGGCGGGCGGACCCCCGACGGGCGGGCCGGGTCGGGCGGGGCCGCCCCGTCGAGGGCCATTGGCCGGGCGAGCCCACAGCCGGGCGAACCCATGGCCCGGGCGAGCCTGTGGCCCGGGCGAGCCGAGCCCGGGCGAACCGAGATTCGGGCGAGTGCATTGAGCCGGCCTGGCCTCGACGTGAGGCCCCTCCTTCTGTCCTTGCCTCCTCTTTCAGTTCAAGCTTCGCGCGGCCCGCTCGTAGCTTCGCCCTCCTGCCCTCCCCTCCTCTTTGGATTCAAGCTCCGCGCGGCCCGCCTGTAGCTGCGCCCGGCAGAGTTTGGCGCCCTCGACCCGCGAAGCGAGAAAGGGACTCGAGCCGGGCGAGGCGAGGTTCGGGCGAGCGGAGCCTGCGCGCAGCGAGCCTCGGGCGAAGCGAGAGAGAGACTCGGGCGAAGAGCGCGAGAGACTCGGGCGGAGCGTGCCTCCTCGGCCGCGCCCCACACGCCCTGTGGAGGGGGCTCGCTCGGAGCACGCGCGGCGGCCCCGCGGAGCCTTCCGGCGGCCAGGCTTCCGCGGTGGAAGCCCTGCGCGCGGGGGGGCCAGGGGTGGTCCCCGGGCCGCGGGGGGCGGCTAAGAATCGTCGGGTCTCCGCGCAGGCGTGCCGAGCCCCGCCGCGCACTCTCTGGATCAGGAGGGGAAAAAACACACACAGACACAATGAATCCTCGATTCCCAGGAAACTATGGGAACATATGGGAGGTGGGGGGGAAGACAGAGACCCAGAAAATATAGGAAAATACGGGGATTTTTTATTTGTGTGTATTTATTTGTGTGTCCTGGGGCCACTTTATCCTCGCAGTCGTGCCGAGCCCCGCCGCGCACTCTCGGGACTGCTCCCCCCTTCCTTCGGGGGGCCCTCTAGCGGGCTCCGACCACGGTGGAGCGCGAGCGGATCCAGGGCTCTTCCTCGCCGTTCCTGCGGGACATCGCTCCCCTCGGGCGGCGCAACACGAACGACTTGCGAGGGTTGCCACAGCCGCCACGAGCACCGAATGGTGGTCACCGCGCGAGTCCGCCTGCGTACAGTCGAAAGGCCACGTGAGTCCGCCCACGCGAGTCCGCCACGCGAGCGACGCAAAGAAACGTCGCCGCCCGTGCCGACATTGGCGCGTGAGCTGCCCACGTGAGGTCGCGCGTATAAGCGCCCTCGTTTCCAGTGCAGCGCGCCCCGCTGGCGGCCCGCGCAAGTCACCGCGTAAGGTCGCCGGGTCATCTCGCGTAAGACCCGTTTTTGATCGTCGCTCACGTGAGTCCGCCCACGTGAGTCCGCCACGTGAGTTTTGACGGTGTCATATTCCTGAGGCCACAGCCTCCGCGGCTTGCCCCACTAGATCTAACGGACAAAATCCTGGGGAGGCCTGCCCAAGGGGGGGTTGTCAGGGGGGGGGTCTGGATCCTTGCGGGGTTGTCCGAGGGGTTGTCTGGGCCGCGTTGTCTTGGGTACGTATGGTGTTTCCGCTCGAGTGCCAGCAACATCCGTGATTGGGAGTGGTGCTCTCGCCCGAGCTCTGGCTACTCCAGATGTCGTAATAAAAGGGAGAGGGTCTGGACCCTCCAAGACAAGCCATTTCAGACCTCCCCCGTGGGAGAACCCTCCAAAACATCGTCCCCAGACCCCCCCAGGCCCTCCAAGATGGCCTGGAAGAGACCCCCCCCGAAATGAGACCCCCCTCCCTTTATTACGAAAGCTGGAGTACATACCCGTCTGGGATTGGTGCCGTCGCCTTCGCGCTGGCCGCATCCCTCACCACTGGGCGCGGTGCTCCGGCCTCGGCGCCGGCCACGTCCCCGAGGGGGTACGGTGCTGCCGCTCGAGCGCCAGCCACAATCACATGCCGAGACGCTCATTAGTCAAGGGGATAAAAAACGCCCCTACCCTGGTTTACGAGGCGCTGTGCGCTGAAACTCCTGTGGGCTGACAGGGTAAACCCTGCGTGATGTGCCGCGTCCTGGCGGCTCTAGGCTTTGGGGGTTCCCAGGAGGTTTACAGACCACGCACTTGTAACCCAGGGTAGGGTCGTTTTTTCATTCCTCAAATTAGGGGGGCAAAAAGTGACATAAACATAGCAACTCGGAGGTCCGCGCGGATTTCGCGCGTCGGCGCTGGACCCCCCTCCCTGGCGCGCTGGAGGCGCGCCAGGGGCGGCGCCGGAGGCGCCGCCAGGGGGCCCAAGCGCCGATCCGAGAACTCCGCGCGGAGCTCCGAGTCTTTCTGTTCATGCCACCTTTTGTTCCCTCACTTGATGTTTGTGCCACTTTTTGTTTTGGGCCGCCTCCCGGCGATGACGGTTCGCTTCGCTTCGCTTCACTTCGCTTATGGTGAGCATCTTGGAGGGGTTCGCAGGCCTAGATGTTGACACCAACACCAAGATCGGCGGTGTTCCTCCACCGAGGGAAGGAGATCCCGATCTCGGTGATGGTGGTCATATTCTGGCTTCCAAGGTGGCCAAAATATTACCACCAACACCGAACTCTAGGATCACCTCCCCCCTGTGGAGGCAGCCCTCTGTCTTGGTGCTGGTGCCCATTTCCAGGCCTCCCAGGGGTTGCCCGGGCTGTCCGGGGAGTCGCCTGGGAACTTCCGGGGGCTGCGCGTCGCAACACATGGGCGAGCGCCCCAGGAAGGAGCGCGCGCGGCCCCCTGCTCGCGCTCCGCTCCCACGGCCTCCCTCGGGACCCCCCTCCCCCGAGCCGGGACGCCCCCTCCCCCGGACCTGCTGGACTCAGGAGGGAAATAGAAAACACAGACACAAGCAACGGTCGATTCCCCAGAAGGTATGGGAACATATGGGAAGGAGGGGGGGAAGACGAAAGCCCAGGAAATATGGGGAAACTATGGGGAATCATTTTATTTGTGTGTATATATTTGTGTGTCCCAGGGCCCCTTCATGGACGATGGACATGGATTTCCAGGCGACCTAGATGGGGTCGGAGTAGATGGGGTCGGAGGACCGCGATGCGGCTCGATGTGGGGCTCGATTTTCTCCACGCCCACGTCGCGGCTGCACCTCCGACGTCGCCAGCGCATGTGCCGGCGATGCGGCGAGATCCTCCGACCCCATCCACTCGGACCCCATCTAGGGGGCCATCCGTGGACGCCGATCGAGGCTTCCATCATTTCCGTGCGGGCCCTCCGCGCCCGCCCCTGGACCCGGCCCCGCCTCCCTCGGGGCCTCCCTCCCTCCCTCGTGGCAGCCGGCGGGGCGGCCGGGTGAGCACGCCGGCCGCGGGGGCAGTGGCGTCGGAGCTCGCCCACGGCCTGCCGCGCTGGGCTGCGCGCTCGAGCCCGTCGGCCTGGCCCGCCGCGGGCCGCGGGCCACCCTCGCGGCGAGGGCGGGGCGCCCGCCCGGCCCGCCGCCCGGCCCGCCGCCCAGCCCGCCCGCCGCGGGCCGCCGCAGGGCAGGGCGCTCCGCGCGCAGTCCCCGCGAGGGGACCCCTCCTCCCCTCCTCCTCCTCCTCCTCCTCCTCCTCCTCCTCCTCCTTCCTCCTCGTCCTACCTCCTCCTCCTCCTCCTCCTCCTCCCTCCTCGTCCTCGTCCTCCTCCTCCTCCTCCTCCTCTCCTCCTCCTCCTGCTTCTCCTCGTCCCTTTCCTCCCTCCTCCTGCTCCTCCTGCTCCTCCTCCCTCCTCCTCTCCTTTCCTCCTCCTCCCCTCTTCCTCCTCCTCTTCCTTTTCTTCCTCTTCCTCTCCTCCTCCTCCTCCTCCTCCTCCTCCTCGTCCTCCTCCTCTCCGCCCCCCTCCACCCTTTCCTCCTCCTCCTCCTCCTCCCTCTCCTCCTCCTCCTCCTCCTCCTCCTCTTCTCCTCCTCCTCCTCCTCCTCCCTCCTCCTCCTCCTCCTCCTCCTCCTCCTCCTGCTGCTGCGCTCGCACCAGAGAGGCGGTCCCGCCTCGTAGCGTCTCCACGGCCCGCGACGCGCGGGCCGCGCACCGAGCCGTGACGGGGTCGACCTGGCCACCTGATCCTCATCCTCCCGCCCCTCCTCATCAAGAAAACGAAGGGCACCTTCGACCCCATCACGACGCCGCCGAGCCCCCCAGGTGGGGACCCACCCTGGGGGGCTCACCACACCGGCCTCTGCTCAGAGGCCCCAGACAGTCTCCACGGCCAGCTGCGGCAGCGGCTCGCCCTTGATGTCCCGCGTCGGGAGCCCCGACTCTGCCGTCTAGCCCAGGGGGTTGTTACTTTGTGGGCTGAATCCACCCCCCCTGGGCCACGACACGCGCGCAACCCTCACAAGGATGACGTAGTCGTCAATCGTATTCCCCATTCATCATGTACCACCTGTCATACCAATATCCGTAGTCCATACAGTGGGCATCCATACCAACTTCAATGATCTCCTGGACCTGTTGCTCCTTTATACCCGTGGGGGTCTTGGCCATGTCCGTGAACACACACATTGGAACGTGAGCCCTCGCACAGGTATGAAATACCACCATTAGTGCACGAAATACTGTGTGTCACCTGTGACTGTCGCCTCCGCATTCTTCCGTGAATTTCAGTACCTCCCCACAGCCGCATCTCCAAGTACCCATACAGTTGACCGATCACACCAATCGTCTTTTGTTCGCCAATATCAATAACCATCTGGTGGCACATACCCTCCATTGCCAGCGCATCCATATCAAATGTCCTGATGCCAACCCTCACAATTTTGAACGGAGCCTCCTCAGAGAAGCTACTCACCCATGATGTATAGTCCCTCTCGGAGTCATAGAACAAGACCAGCTGCGACTCCTTATCCACACACTGGTAGGTCACAACTTCTGCTTGTCGTGGTATTGTCCCAACATCTGTCAACACCTGTGGAATCTCTATTTGTCGATCCTCCTGCGTTCTAGAATTACGACAATACCTCGGCCCTCTTGTTGGCGGCCGCAATGCTTTCGATTCCGAATGTCCCATGGCTTTGAGCGTTGCAGTTTCCTTCGCATCTTTTTCGTCCAACTCCGCCAATTTGTCATCATCCATTGGCTCCACTATCCCACGCAACACCTCGATACATTTAGTTTGTCGGTATTCCAGATGATAAATCAACCGCTTCCTCGTATGAAAGTCTACATCACATACAACGCAGTATCCACCATACGCATACCGAGGAATGCCAGTATAGTTACCATGCACCTTCGTTCGATGTCCATGCCACGCACACTTGGTATCAAAGGTGGCACCACATTCATAGCAGATAATCTGTAACTTCTGAACGACTTCGTGCTCCTGTGGAGCCATACCTCGAACTCTATGAAGCCATACTTCATGCTGACACTGATCTATATACCATTGCAAAAACCGTTGCCAGTCTGCGGTACAAATCGCCAAATATTTCTTGGGGGACTGACGGATGAGCTGAACCCATTGCCGCATATCCGTTGGTAACTCATTGGTAGTCTTCCACTTATGCAACCATTCCAAGTCCGCCTCAAGCACACCTAGCCATGTCCCCTCGATCCCAAGTAGATCAATCAGGCGCCGTAGGGTCGCTGGTGCATGATTTATCACTCTCTCTAGATAGCGGAGTCTCCTCATACGTCTGATTGCCGTGATGTCAGCCCGTTTCGCTCGCCAAAGAACATATTCATCTAGTTGGTGCTCCACCGTACGTGCATCATGGGATAGACCCGTCGCCGCTCGGAGCCCACGCATATATGCAGCTCTCAGACGTGCCTCGTTCCCCTCACCAAGTTCATGCCAAATCTCGACCTGCTGAAATAACCGCGAAAAAGCGAGCGCCTCCACATATCTGACTTTGAATTCGCCCTTCATATTTTTCCGTGGTACGATACCCCGCCTGATTGGACCCATTGCTTGCTCACAACTTTGAATACGCCGACTTATTTCTGGACGCCACGAGTTGTCAAAAGAAACCACCACCCCCATATGTTTGTAATGACGTTCGATGTGAAACGTGAACTCCCCTCCGTATAGGGTTTCACGAAGGGCCTCACGATTCAATCCTCGAAGCTGAAATAGTGCACCCGTCTTCCCCCTTCCGTAATTGGGCTCCATGAAGTGCGCCACAAAGGAAGCGTGCATGATGTCCATCGCGTCGTTCACACTCTGGATTATACAACCATTTTCCTGCACAATTGGGATCATCACACCATCAACAAAAGTAATATCCACCAAAGGGTTAACATCTTACAATATCGTGCTCAGGTTGGTACATGCCAAGATCCAAGACCAGATTCGCCGCCTGCAGACTTCTATGCACCAAGTCAAAAGCCTTAGTGAACACAATATTGAAAAGGTAGTCGGCCGTCGCACACCTAGGTCGTGATCCGCGTGTTGGCATACCAAGTAGTGTAGAGCCTCCCACTTCAAAACAGACCAGGCGTTGTGATTCCGCCACAAGCGTGGCCAGATATGGGTCAACCCGTTGGTCATCCAACAACGCTGGCTGTGATAAAATATGGCTGGCCAGCGGTACCAAACATATTGGGATATCACACTCATTTAGGATCGACTCTGGCTCATCCTCCAAGTATTGCATGCGGCTTGCCATCTGTCGAATAATGCGATGAACTGCCGCCTTAAGATCCAAAAATATGAACGCCGCTGACACCTGATTCTTGGCCGCCAACTGTGAGATCAGCCGAGCCTGCTGCGAAGCCATCACCGTTGATCTCCTTGGCCTTCCCCCAAGCTGAGAGTCCCTTAGCATAAAGTCCAGAGTATACGCCAACTGCCTCCTCAAAAAGCGGTAATGATGCTTCGCAAAGACATTGCAGATCGTCACCGCCCTGAACGCCTTGTTCGAAGAGGGGTCCCCTGCATTCTTGGATATTTCCCCCAGCCTACTATGCTTGAACGCGATCGGTTCATTCCCAGTCGCACATACTTTCACCAAGAGTGGGTTAATCAACCTGGAGATCTGCTTAGGTGCTGCGTGCAATACTTCCTCCAATAGCCCATCAGTGCCCGCCGCTCGCCTTCGTGGTCCCCGCGATAGCCCATACTCGGTATCCGCCAGGTGAGGGAGCATCTCAATATTCAAGGGAACATTCGCAAGTGCCGTGCTTGGAAATTTCTGATACACCCCTGCATATTCCTGGGCCGACACCACCTTCGCATCCTCCAGCTTTCTGTACACCCGCATCCTGTTCGTACCCATTTCTTCCTCCGATGTGATGACTTTGCCTTCGTCGTCCTTCCTGTATGGTAAGAACTTTCCATTTGAAAAAACGCGGGTGTTCCCTCCACAACGTAATAACCGCTTCGCTGACTGCCAGGCCTGTCGGTGATCTCCAAGTATCGTATTAGCCCCAATCTGTTCAGCATATCCGTTCAATTTGTCATCTTTTTCCATATCCAACCGACGATGCAATATGTTGGTGGTGATCCGCATGAATGCTTCCATCTGACATTTAAGCTCGATGTTAGACCAACTCCCATTATTCATAAACTGTACGCCCAGTACCAGTTTTTCCGACTCTTCGTGCCAAGGATCACCAACCTTTGAACACAATTTGTATTGAAGGGGTAGGAACTTACATATTCTGAAAGGGTCTGCTCTCTCCTCGCCGAAAATTATGTAGTCCCTGAAGCACGTATCGCCGCAGTCTGATGAGCCGCATTGTATCTCTTGTTATGTATGACTGCGATGGTGTGAATAGATCCCGCGCAAAACACCGCCGAGCTGCGTCCTTCACCTGCCTCATTACGTCCGCATACTGAGAATTGACATCCTGCTCCCATGGCCCAGGTCCTCCTCCTCCTCCTCCTCCTCCCTCCTCCTCTTCCTCCTCCTCCTTCCTCCTCCTCCTCCTCCCTCCCGCCCTCCCTCCCTCCCTCCCTCCCTCCCCCTCCCTCCCTCCTCCTCCTCCTCCTCCTCCTCCTCCTCCTCCTTCCTCCTCCTCCTCCTCCTCCTCCTCCTCCTCTCCTCCTCCTCCTCCTCCTCTCCTCCTCCTCCTCCTCCTCATCCTCCGACCTCCTCCTCCTCCTCCTCCTCCTCCTCCTCCTCCTCCTCCTCCCTCCCTCCCTCCCTCCCCTCCCTCCCCTCCCTCCCTCCTCCCCCGCCCTCCCTCCCTCCCTCCCTCCCTCCTCCACTTCCTCCTCCTCCTCCTCCTCCTCCTCCTCCCTCCTCCTCCTCCTCCTCCTTCTCCTCCTCCTTTTCCTCCTCCTCCTCCTTCTCTCCTCCTCCTCCTCCTCCTCCCTCCTCCCTCCCTCCCTCCCTCCTCCCTCCCTCCCTCCCTCCCTCCCTCCCCTCCCTCCCATCTCCCTTCCTCCTCCTCTTCCTCCGATTCCTCCTTCTCGTTCTCCTCGGCCTCCTCGTCCTTCCTCCTCCTCCTTCTCCTCGTCCTCCTCCGCCTCCTCGTCCTTCTCCTCCTCCTGCCGCGCCCTGCCCTGGTCCCCCGACCGTCTGTCCTGGCGGCGGCGGCGGCGGGGTCTTGCGCGCCGGAGCGGTGTGCGCGCGCGGCCCAGAAGTCGAGGGCAGCTGGCCGAGCCGGCCGGCGCCCCACCGGCGCTGCCGAGAGTGATCGGGTCGGGGAGAGGGGGCGCTGGGCGGAGGGGGGCGGGGGCGGACTACCGAGGCTCGAGGAGGAGGAGGAGGCGGAGGAGGAGGAGGCGGAGGAGGAGGTGGGTGAGGATGATCGGACCGATCGAAACGGGTACAGACAAACATGGGGACGAAATCCGTCATCAGCAGTTCCGGCCCGTACACGCCCGTACAGGACTCGCCGTTGGTAACGCCGCAGACGATGTCCGCTTGAGACAAATCGCCTGTCTGCCCAAAAGCGGCTGCTGTCGTTTTTGGATAGCGCTTGCTGGTGGGCATCGTACTACTTTTTATCGTATCCATTCTTGGGCGTATCCAGATGATGGTGCCGAGGACGAGGGGGATTGGGGGGATGAGGATGAAGAGGCAGAGGAGGGTGAGGAGCGGAGGGAGGGTGGACATGATACAGAATGAGGAGGAGAAGGAGGAGGAGGAGGAGGAGGAGGGGGAGGAGGAGGAGGAGGAGGAAGTTGGGAAAATGAGGGGGGAGAGGAGGGACACGAGGATGCGAGGAGGATTTGAAGAAGGGGTGTGATGAAGAGGACGGGAAGGAGGGTGGAGGCAGGGGGGAGGAGGCGGGGGAGGCCAGGAGTAGTGTTGCTGTTGTTGTTGTCGTCGTCGTCGTCGTCGTCGTCGTCGTCGTCGTCGTCGTTGTTGTTGTTGTTGTTGTTGTTGTTGTTGTTGTTGTTGTTGTTGTTGTTGTTGTTGTTGTTGTTGTTGTTGTCGTTGTTATCGTTGTTGTCGTTATCGTCGTCGTCGACGTCGTCGTTGTTGTTGTTGCTGTTGTGCTGTTGTTGTTGTTGTGGTTGTTGTTGTGGTTGTGGTTGTGGTTGTGGTTGTGGTTGTGTTGTGGTTGTGTTGTGGTTGTGGTTGTGGTTGTGGTTGTGGTTGTGGTTGTGGTTGTTGTTGTTGTTGTTGTTGTTGTTGTTGTTGTTGTTGTTGTTGTTGTTGTTGTTGTTGTTGTTGTTGATGTTGATGTTGCCATTGGTTTGATGTTGCCATTTTTGTTGTTATCTCTCCATCTCTCTCTCACGTTCGCTCTCCCTTCCCATATATGCACGTATGTAGGAGGTGAGGGCCGACGGAGGCGGGGGGGCGGGAGTGCAGGGGCGCGTGAGGTGAGGGAGGAGCTTTCGCTTCCACCTCCTGGGGCGGGGAGGTATGGGCACGTGAGGCGAGGGAGGAGTCCTATCGCTTCCACCTCTCCGCCTTCAGGAGGGAAAAGGCACACTCACACACAGACGCAAGTAATCGCTGACCCCCCGGAGAATGTGGGAAAACATGGGAATCGGAGGGGAAGGCAAAGGCCCAGAAGAGATGGAAACATACGGTGGCTCCTGGGATTTGTTGTGTATTTCTGTGTGCGTCCCTGGCCCCCCTCAAGCACTCGCGATCTCCTCTGCTGCTCCTCCGCCTCCACGGAGATCCTGTGAGGCCTCGGAGGTTCTGACTGGCTATGAGAGGGCCCCGGCGGTGGACCGAATTATTTTTATGGTCGTCCCGGTGATGTTCAGGAGGGGAACAAACACATAGGGCAATTCATCGTCGATTCCCCGGAAATGATGGGAAGATATGGGAAGTGGGGGGGAAGACGAAAGTCCAGAAACTTTGAGAAGCTATGGCGAATCATCTGATCAGCTATGGATGGGCCTCTACTCATCTACGATGGCGAATCATCTGATCAGCTATGGCGAATCATTGTGTGGCCCTGGACTCATCTACGATGTGCCGATGACGTCGATGCTGATGGATGCGGGGCCTGATCGGCGCTCCCGTGCTCGAGTACACGCCAGTCGTTGAAGTAGGTATTGTTTGATGCCCAGATCCCAATCTATTTCAAGCGCCTCCCTACTTCAATACTCGATATGCTTTTGCTGTGTTTTGTCATTCTCTGGAAGGGCCTGAGCCCAATCTACATACTCTGCCTTCCTATTTCATGCTTTCTCCTACTTCTTCCGACCGTTGTCTAGCGATCTCTGGTGATTCATGATTTCTCTCCCTTGCTCTCTCTCGAGTTCTTTAGTTGTTCCTCTCGCTCTCTCTGTTTCAAGCTCCCCCTATCTCTTTCCGCACCCTCTTTTCTGTTTGCGTAATTGAACGACGATGGACGGGGCGCAACTCGCCTGCGAGAATGTGGGTGTATACATTTCAGACGGCGGTGAGCCCTCACTCGCGCATGGGTCTTGGTGAGGCAGTACAGTCAGAGCGAGAGGCTCAATGGTTGCCCACCGTGCCAGGCACTGCCCCTCGAACATTTCCAACGAGCGATGTGCTGCAGAACAGTTCCGTCGACTGGCGCGCACTCCCTACCCGTCCATGACAGGAGAAGCATCTCCGCCGCCACTGACCGTCAGGCGCACATCTGCCCACCGGCGTTCCAGCCCCGAGCACAATGGGCAGGCGACGGGGCCGTGTCGGCTGCGCTGCCGCCTCTGAGGATGGCGCTCCGTCCCGTCCCGCCCGAGCCACCCCTCCGAGAGTGTGGATAGACGCCCGGGGCAGCCAGACTGAGCCCGCGCGGGCGTTGTCGCCTCGCCCCGTCGTCGTCGTCGTCGTCTTCGTCGTCGGCGTCGGCGTCGGCTTCGGCGTCGTCGTCGTCGTCGTCGTCGTCGTCGCCGTCGTCGTCGTCGTCGTCGTCGTCGTCGTCGTCGTCGTCGTCGTCGTCGTCGTCGTCGTCGTTCGTCGTTCGTCATTCCCTGGCTTGGCAGCCGAGCGAAAACGGGGTCGTCTGCGCCGACATTGGCGCCCAAGCTTCCCTCACATGGTCGCGCGTAAGCGCCCTCGCTTCCGCTGTAGCGTGCCGCTCCGGTGGCCTGCGCAAGCCACCGCGTAAGTCGCTGTGCCATCTCGCGCAAGGCCCGTTGCGGCTCCTCGCTCCGCTGGGCTGCGTCGCGGTAGTACACGCCCGTCGTTGAAGTAGGTATTTCTGGATTCCCAGGTCCCAACCCACTTCTAGCGACTTCCTACTTCAATAATCGACGTGCTTCTGCTATGTTCTGTCATCCTCAGGGAGGGCCTGCCTTCCTACTTCCTACTTCATGCTTTTACCTACTTCTGCCGGGGGGAGTAGGGGGCCACATGCGAACCCTACCCCTGCCCCCCACGATTTCTGAGGGGGAGGGTGGGGTTTACTTCGTTCGGGAGCTCTCGAGCGAAGTGAACCCCACCCTCCCCCTCAGAAATCGTGGGGGGCAGGGGTAGGGTTCGAATGTGGCCCCCCAGGGAGGACGAAGTACGCGATTATGATGGTGGCGACACCTCCACCTCCGCCTCCTCCCCTCTTCCTGCTTCTGCTCCTCCCTCCTCTTGCTCCTTGCATTCCTCTTGCAGCCCCTCCTCCTCCTCCTCCTCCGCCTCCTCCTCCTTTTACATCATGTTGGACAGACGCCCACGCACTCCCCCCCCCTCACACCATGCATCTGGCAGTGCCGCTGGCGCCTTCCGTCGACGGCCCGCGGCCACCTTCGCCGCCCGCGCGGGGCCGCCGCGCGCACAGCTCGTAGCTCGTGGCCTGTGGCCAAACACATCATCCGCCTCCCTCCCCCGACCTCCCTCCTCCCTCCTTCCTCGTCCCTCCTCCCTCCCCCTCCTCCCTCCTCCCTTCTCCCTCCTCCTCCCCTCCCACTCCCTCCTTCCCTCTCCCTCCTCCCTCCTCTCTCCCATCCTCCCCTCCACTCCTATCTTCCCTCCTCCCTCCCCGTCCTCCCCTCCCTCCTCTCCCCCCCTTTTTTTCCCTCCTCCCTCGTCTTCCCTCCCACTCCCCTCCCTCCCCCCCCTCTCCCTCCTCCCCCCTTTCCTCCCTGCTCCCCCCCCCTATCCTCCCTCCTCCCTGCTCTTCCCTTGCCTCCCCCCCGCTCCTTCCCCCCTTCCTTTGTCCTCCCCCGCCGTCTGTAGCTCCCGCAGCGCCGGAGAGGCGACGCCAGCCCCAACCCCGCCATTCGCGGCAGTGCGGCGGCGCGGGAGCTTCGCGCTTTGGGGGGGGAGCGGCTGCGTGAGGGCGGAGGACGAAGATGAGAAGTCCGAGGCGGGGAGGAGGAGGAGGAGGAGGAGGAGGAGGAGGAGGAGGAGGAGGAGGAGGAGGAGGAGGAGGAGGAGGAGGAGGAGGAGGAGGGCTGCGTGAGGGCTGCGTGAGGGCCGAGGACGAACGGATTTATTCATAACCACCGCCTGAAGGATCGATGTCCGGAGACCTCGACAGGCTGTGGATGTGGACGATTCGGGGCCCCCAGGGGCCCAAATATGTCCATGTACACCGCCCGCTGGGCCCCCCGGACGTCGGTTCCCAGGCGGTGGATCTGGACAAATCCGCCTCGCGAGACCGCGGATCGAGCCAGACGACAGGGGGGATCTGGAGGGGTCACGAAATCTGCTGCGTGCAGCTGGTTTCGGCCCTGCCGCCATGCTCTTTCCTCGATGCGTTGGCGCTTCTGGCTCCGGGAGGCGCCAGAGAAATCAGCTATGCGAGCTGGTTCGCGAACCCCCCTTGAGATTGCCTCCCCCATGGGTCAGGCTCGAGTGGAGGAAGAGGAGGCGGAGGGTGAGGGGGGAGAGGGGGAAGAGGCGGAGAAGGGAGGAGGACGGGCAGGAGATGAAAGGAGCAGGAGGAGGAAGAGGACGTTGTTCACCTTGACCCCAGTGGCTTCGAAGGCTTCGAAGCAGCCTCCCGCCTCCTCTTCAAAATCAAACAATCTGAGTACTGCTCTCCCTCCTCCCCTGAATTTGTCCTGAAGATCTCCCGCCCCTCCGCGTGCGTTTTTTTTTTTTTTTTTTTTTTTTTTTTTTTTTTTTTTTTTTTTTTTTTTTTTTTTTTTTTTTTATATATAAAAAAAAATATGTTTTCTTTTTTCCTGTTCTTATTCATATATATATATATATATGTATTTTTATGTTGTTTTTTTGTTGGCCATGTTGTAAGACAGGATCCCATACGTGTTTTATTATTCTGTTTTGCAGCTCGATCCCGTCGCTCCGAGTGGCCCCCCCATCGT